TGCTTCCACTTTAACTTCCTTCTAGGAGGGGCTGGGAGCCCAACAGATGGGGGGCTCCACGGCCCCCCTGCCTTCTGGCAGTGACCATTCACCACCTGTCCCCAGCCACTGTCCAAGTTGGGCCTTGGACGCTCCTGTGCCCTGGCCCCAGCGGCCGCCTGGGGCCAGCGGCCCCTCCACAGGAAGGCCCCAGAGACCAGCACAGTGACCCACAGGCAGGGGCCCGATGCTCGCTGACACCAGAGCGGTGGCCCCAAGCGGCTCCCCAGGGTTTCCCTCGGCCCACCGGCCACTCTCCATTAAACCTGACCTGTCTTCCTCCTGCTCCACAGGGGCCCAGGCACCCCACACGGGAGTGGGGGCACTATGGTGCAGCCCTGACCTGGGTAGGGGTTGAGGTCGGGGACCAAGGGGCACAGGAGCAGAGAGACTGGGAGGGGCTGCTCTGGCCCCAGACTGTGTCCCCAGCCTGGCTCTTCCCGACCTCACCCTGCCTGCTGACTCCCGTACCCCAAAAACCGCCACCCACGACCCTTGCATCACTAGGACCTGCACTTCTGGGTCCTCTACATCCAACCCTTGCACTCCCGGGTCTGCACCCCATCCCTGCACCCCAGCGCCCTGGACAATGGACCCCAGACCCACAACCGCTGCCCCGTACACCCAGATCCTGCACCCCGTCTCCCCTGCGCCTTGGGCCCTGCACCTCCAACCCGCGCGGACCCACCTGGGGCGACCCCGGCGCCCTCGTCGCTCTGGTTAAACTCGAAAAGGAAATCAAAGTCGAACTCCTGGTCCTCCTCCAGCCCCGTCATGTCGGGAAGGCCCGTCCGGAGTGGGAGTCAAGAGTCCAGGGTCTGGGCTTCAGGGTCAGGGCCGGGGTCGGAGGTCGGGGTCCAGGATCAGAATCAAGGCCTGGGATCAGGGGTCACTGCCAGGGTCCGAGGTCCAGGATCGGGGCTGGGGTCCGGGGTCCAGGGTCAGGGTCCAGGGCGGGGGCCGGGACCGTGGCCGGGACCCGGAGAAGCCGGGGTAGGGTTTGCGGCCAGAATTGGGTGTGGGGCGGAGGTGCGGGCCGGGTCCGGTGGGTCCCCGGCCGGCCGCGGGCACCTGTGGTCGCCGCCCCGCTCGGCTGCGCCCTGCGCCCTGCGCCCAGCCGGCCCCGGTAACGTGACTCCGGCCGCCCCTCCCCCGCCCCCGCCGGCCCCTCCCCCGCGTTTCCGGGTTCACACAAACAGCCCGGCGGCCGCGGCCCGAGTTTTAAATAAACTCTGGGAGCCGCGCACGCCCGCTGCTCGTGTCCCGCCCAGCGCCCCGTCCGCGGGCGCGACCCCGGAGGGTCCGGTGGGTCCCCGTGCGCGGGGCAGCGGCCCTGTCCGGGACCCCCGCGTCCCCCGGCTCCTCCGTGACCCCAAGCGGCGCACAGAGCAGCGCCTGCTCCCCGGAGCCGCGGCGACTCCGGCCAGGCCCACGGACTTGGTTACAACTTTGTTTCTGTTAAAGCAGCGCCTGCCCGCCCGTCCTCCCGGGCAGGAAGGAGGCGGCGCTTCCCGCCGGGGCCCCCCATCCGGGCCGGACCCCCCCATCCGGGCCGGACCCGCGTGCCCCCGCAGCCGCGCGGCTCGGGGAAGCGCAGGGGGCACAGGGGACTCCGGTTCGGCTGCCGCCGCCCCGCGTTCACGCCCCGGCTCCCGGGCCTTTCTTGCCGCCGGGGTCTGACCCCCCAGGCCCGCGCCCCTCAGGCAGCCCTTCTCCGTCACACCCCCTCCTCCAGTCCCCAGCCTCCTGGATCGCACCGCTCCCTCCTGGGCGCGGGGAATGGCCCCCCGGGGCTGAGCGGAGGAGGGCCTGGGTGTGAACAGCGCACCCAGGGGGCCCAGAGCAGCGCACCCACCGCTCTCTGTCCTTCTCCCAGCTGTGTGTGCTGTCCCCGGGGTCCGGCACCCCCTCCAGCCGGCATCTGCAGCGGGAAGGAGGGGCAGTGAAGGCCACGGTGCCCAGAAGCACACACTGGGCATTCCAGTCCGAAGGGGGAGATGGCAGTGGCACCAGACCCGCCATAGCAATCCTGCTGCTCACCCGCCCTCCTTTCTGCCCTACAGGCCCTCTGCCCAGGGGGCATGGCTTTTTCCAGAAGCAGAGACCCTCGCCAGTCACGTGACCCCCGTCTGCACCCCCAGAGCTGCTCCCCCGTGACCCTTTGCCAAGGGCTGGTTTTCTCCAGTGATAAACTATAGTTCACTTTGGCCTGATTTAGTTTCTAATAATAGTTCTCACTTTGAGATGTATGTTGGAGGGTTGTTTTGTTTTAGTTTGCTTTTTTTGCTGACCTTCAGGCAAATGGAAGTTCTGTTTTTCTGTTGAGAAGCCACAGCATCTCATTTTCTCTCTCTTCGTGTTTTCTTTTTTAACTTCAGCCACCTTCTCACCCCCGAAAAAAATTGACACACAAATAACAGTCCTCCTCATCTGCTTAGATGAAAGCCTTTCGCTCGACGGTCCTGGAGAGGTGATGGGCACTCCTCGGCTGTGCCCACCTGGTCCCTGGGCAGTGCCCACCTGGTTGCTGGGCCCTGCGGGATTCAGGACTCAGGGCTGCTCTTCCCAAGGCTGAGTTGGCCCCTACTTAGTTCCAGATCCCCAACCAAGGTGACTAGCTGGGGTGGCCCTTTTAAAAAACATGCTCCTCTTACCAGCACCCCAGGATTTCTCATCTTAAAAGTGATCAGAGCTATTTGCCAACTCAGCAGACACTCCTGTCTTGATGAAGTGTTTAGCTTGGCCCTTCCCCGGAGGCTGCGGGTGTTCCTGGTGCGCGTTCCAGCCCCGCGTGTGATCAGTGGGGCGCCAGCGCCCTTCTAATCTGGATTAGGAAACACGGCGGAGAAATTAAATGGAGGGAGCGGAGCAGGAGAACAGGGGTGCTTTGTTCTGTGCTGGGAGCCTGGGGGCAGGAGTGTGAAGCAACCTCGGAATGGGTGGGTGGGTGGCTACCTACAGGCCTGCATTTCTCCGCTTTCTGCTCAGGGAAAACAAGCTCGGGGACATCACAAGCAGCAGTGCCTAATGAGCTGCAGCCCAGATGCTCTTAGACCGGGGGAGGCCAGTACCTAACGCCTCCCTCGGAGGGCCTGCGTGGGGACAGGTCATCCCCGCAGCCCTGCAGGGTGACCTGCCGCAGATGGAGGGCCTGTCTTTATGAAGGATCAGGTCCTACCTTCTGGTTAGTCTAACCTTGTCCTTATAAGATGCACCATTACTTGTTTAGTCAAAGGGCACGCTGCACCTGGCCCTGGGCCGGCCCCAGAAGCATTCTGAAATGCATCTTGTTCAGCGGGAAACAGGAAAACTCGGCGCCGCCCCCAGGGATGGTTTTTCCTCTGGTCAGAGAGAAAAGGTTCTCGGCTGCAGGATGGACCCCTGACTGTTTGAGTAAAAAGACAACCTGGACTTTTTAAAGCAGTGATTAAAAAAAAAATACGTGGGGGAAACTTTGAAATAAGTGTCCAAGGGTTTCAATCAAAACCTCAAGAATTAAAAAAACAAAACAAAAACAAAAACTTTTTTTTAGTAGCAAGGCTGGTCCCAAACACATTTCTTGATGTTTGCATTTTGACAATTTCTGAGTGGAGGTGGAAGGGTAAGGACCCTACAGTACGTATTCCTGCCTTGACTCAGAATGTGTGGAAAGGCGAGTGAGAGACCCCAGGCCTCTGAGGCGGGGAGCCGCCCCGGGTCTGTGGTCTGGAGCCTCAGCCAGAGGGAACCCGCCCGCCTGCGGCAGGCAGTCTTCGGAAACTGCATCTAAGGCCTGGCGCTGGCTGGAGGGAGCAGGAAGCGGCAGGGCGTGCTTGCTAGCGCCCCGCGGAAGGATGCCCGCCTTTATAAAATATGAGGACTCATTACCCACGGGCAGGTTTGCCAGCTTTCTTCAAGTAACTTAAACAAACCGCTTCGGCGCACCGATAAGGCCTTTGGGAAGATGTCGCCCCGCTTCCCTTGTGCGCTTGCCATCCCGGTTCCTCCCCGGGGTGCTAGTCCCCCCCTCTCCCCAGGGTTTCCAGGCACCTGAGGGAGCTCCCCCTCCCTCCAGAGGTCTCGGCTGCTCTGCTCACGGATGGTTTCTTGCAAGGTTGTGCCACGGGGGGCTGTGGCTGAGCCTGCCCCGCGAAGGGGGGCGCGTTCACTGCCCGCCCGCGACGGCGGCGACCGCGCAGACGTGCCATCCTGTGACTCTGAACCGGCGGCTGGAAACTGGGCGGCCCCCGTTCAGAGTGTCCCGAAACGTTGGAACTCTGGTGTCCATGGGAAGGGAAACCGCCAGAATCAGGGGCTGCCTTCGGACAGCGCATCTAATAGCTTTCAAATCCTACATCCGGCCTCCAGCCCGAGAGCTCGGTGACGGCTCAGGAAGGCGGCGGAGGCGGATTTGGAGGATGAGCCTTGGAGAGAGGCGACCCTCCCCACACACACCTCACGTCTGACTGGTCTTTGAAGCCAGCGGGTGGCCTCCCCCCACAGGGCAAGGAAACAGCAGACAATTCTTCGCCCTCCCCTTAGACAGCGCTTCATCCCCAAGGGTTCTTCGTGGATCTGATGGTCCTACCCTTGCCCCGTCCTCAAACCGCCCGCTTTGAACCGAGTTTCTACCGCCGCCGGGATTCAAAGCGAGGAGGCTGCACCAGCCAAGGCCGAAAGCGCGCACTCAGAGCTGGAGGAGAGGAGACACCTATTGGCAAGAGGCAGGCGCGCTCGAAATCAGGGCTCCGCCGGGGAAACACCAGGGGGACACCGCTTCCCAATCGGTGCCGCGCGCCCGCCCGCCCGCCAGCGCGCCGGGACCCGCGCCCTCCGCGCGCAGACGCCGCCGGGCCAGGGCCTCTCCCCGGGCCGGACCCCGGGGGCTCGCGCGGGGGCACCGGCGAGGGGGCGGTGGGCGCAGGGCTGGGGGCGCTGGGGGTCCGTGTGGGGAGGGGGGGCCGGCAGCCTCACGGGCTTACCTTCCTCCGCCGACTTCATGGTGCCGCCGGCGGGCGGCGCGGGCCCCAAAGTTTCTCCTCTCCCGCAGCCGGCAGCCGGAGAGCCGAGTGGAAACTTGGAAGGGACTGGAAAACTGGTGCTTGGCATCCACGCGGCCGCGGCGGCGCGGAGCGGGAGGAGGAGGAGCGGGCACCGCCGGGCTCGGGCTCCGGGGAAGCTGGCTCCCCGGCGGGCGGACGCGCTGCCCGGGCTCAGCGTGGCGCGCCCCGGAGGAGAAATGTCACCCGGGGGCGTGTGCGCGTGCGGCGGGGCGGCTGCGGCCGGGACCCCAGCGGCGTGGCAGTGGCAGTGGCAGAGGCTAGGAGGGGCGCACCCGTGCCCGGTCCCCACGCTTGGCAGCCGGATCCCTCCCAGCGGCTGTGCCTGCGAGTCCGGAGTCTCAAAGTCTCGCTCTGACGCAGGGCCGCGCTCTGCCTGCTGGCTTTTTAAAGCTGGAAAACACCTCCCCCGCCTCCCGCCGCCCGGTGCTCCCTCGCCCCCTCCCTGCCATGACATCACGCCCCGCCCGCCCGCCCGAGCCGGCGGGGCCCGGGGGACCGGGGCTGAGCGCGGGGCCCCTCCCCGCGCCGGGCCGCCCCTCTTTCGGCTGAGGACGCGAGTGAGGCGGCCAGGGGCTCGCGTGGGGTGTGGGTGGGGGGGACTGTGCACGGACCAGCCTTGACCGGGTCCCGCGGGGGCCGAGAGAGCCGCCCCTTGCCCCAGCGCGGGCGGCGGGTAGCGGGGCCGAGGGGCGCCAGCGCGCGGCATGCTGAAGTCATTATGTAAAATCGCAGGCTTCCCCGCGGTGGAAATTTGGAAAAGCGCTCCCACTGGCAGGCCCGGGAAAGGAAATTCCCACCCCGCCAAATCACTAACAGATTGCACGGCAGTCCCAGGGCCTCGGCTTACTGTCGTTTTACTGTGCAAATGCCCGAGCCATCCCATCTCCGGTTGCAGGAGCTGGGGTGGGCAGGGGCCGGGGGGGGGCGGGGGGGCGGGCGCGGGGACCTCCTCCGGCTCCGGGGGCCCCCGGTCTCGGCCTCCCGGCTCTGGGCCCCGTAGCGCCGCCGCCGCCGCCGTTCAAGTAACACTTTTTTCTTTCAAATGCTCGGCCTCCGCGCAGCGCGGCTGCCAAGCGGGACCATATTTTCTCCTTGGCCGCGGATGGAAGGGGCTGGAGTGTTAGGGCGGTAAAGACGTCTGGTGTTCAAAAACCCATAAATCTATGGCACGCCACCCTTCTGTGGTTTAAAATAAACCCAAAAGCTAGAGACGTGTCTGCTGCGGGGATCCAGGAGGCCTGGGGGCGCCGATGGGTTCCCCAGATGAATCCAGGCCCAGAACCCACGGAAATGGGGAACCCCCAGGGAAAGAGGGGGGGTCTAGACAGCTAATCGGGTGAGACAGTAAGTGATAGCAAACTGCCCAGCGATGTCCACGGCTCAGAACCGAAATTGCTCTCCGTGCCAGGTCTCCCACTGTACCCCTCATCCCCGGGGTGTCTGTGTGGGTGTCACACCTCTCAGGAGTCACTACCTGTACACGTGTTGTCACGCTGATAGCTGGTGCCCCGGCGCAGGGAGAGGGGGGCTCCCCGGCGAGGACACCGAGGCTGGGGGGAACCCCCGCGAGGACTCTGAGGGTGTGGGGGCCTGGGCGAGGATGCTGGATGCTGTGAGAAGCTCCAATCCGGCGGGGCAGGCCGCCAGGGGGCGCCAGGATCGCGCCGTCCTCGCACCGCCCCCTTCCTCCCCCGCCCCCTCCTCCCCCGCGACGCCACCTCCCTTCCCAAGATCTTTTCGCATTGGTGCACCCAGACTTGGGTGCAGGATTTTGCCTGGAGAGTTTCCGTTTCCCGTTCTCCCACCCCCCTTATTCCCCCCGTCACCCCTCTGTCCCCCCTCCCGCTCCAAGGATTTTGCCTAGAGAGTTTCCGTCCATCCCCGCCTCCTCCCCGCCGGTGGAGGGGGAAGAAGCGAAGGGAGGTCCCGCATGTCGCATAAAAGTCACCTCTGACCCCCACCTCTGCCCTTCCCGCACTTTCACACGCATGGGCGCCCCCCGCCCTCCCCGGCCCAGAGCCCGCGGAACCCACAGGGCGGGTGCGCCCTTGGCCCGGGGGAAGAGCCGGAGCCGGGGCTGCGGGCCAAGGCGGCGGGTCCCCCCCTCCCCCTCGATAAATAATTTTCACTCCATCCAGAAAAGCTCTTTCCTGTCTGCTCTCAATGCCCTCCTTATTCCCCCGCCCGGTGACGGAATCCCCGTCTGTTTCCCTCTGTTTAATGCCGTTGCCGGGACCACGGTGGCGGCGCGCCAGGGCGCAGGGAGTTCCGGAGGCGGCGGCCCCGCTCCGCGGCCGGCGCGCCCCCGGGCCCGCGGCGGGTCCTGCGGCCGCGGCCACCGGCGGCCCCCGCGCTCCGGGCTCCGGGCTGCGGCCGCCGCGGCCCCTGCGCCCCTCCCGCCGCCGGCCTCCCGCTTCCTCCCGAGGTGTGTTTATAGCCGCTACCAGGAGAGACGTTACACGGATTTTATTTTAAGAATGGGTGATGACTAACGAAGTTAAAAGGAGCTTAGGGCAGAAAACAAGACTATTTTTAGATTGCTGCTGTTTCTGTGGATTATTGGGGCAAATACGCCGAGAAGCTTACCATTTTCAAAGGCCCCCTCGGAGGCCAAGCCCGCTCTCCTGGCGCGCGCGCTCGGGATGTCCCGCCCCGTGTCCGGGATTTTCTAGGGACCCGGGCGGACAGGCACGCCGGTTGGGGTTAGTGTTGAAGCACAACTGCTATGGAGACGCGGTCTTGGGCGCTGTGGGCGGTCCAGCCGGGTCAGGAGGACCTGAGAGAGTCCTGGCCTCCCGCCCTGGGAGCCCCGTGGGACCTCAGCGCACCTGGCCTGGGGCTGCCCCCCTCTCCGAGAGGGGAGGGGGCCTTCTGCTCAGGTGCCTGGCCAGGCCCCCCCTTTCCTCCTGTAACTCAGTGGCGCGCAACCAGATACCACTTGTTGCTCAGGAACATCACGCAGACATTGCGGGGTAACCGTGGATGCTGGCTCTAGCTCGGTCCACAGCTGAGCCCCGGTGGTGGTCGCTTTAGCACTTTCCCATTTAGGAACTCTGCGCCCTCTCCTTTCCCCTACCTGACAGCACCCTTTACCCAGCGGGAAGGAGCGCACCCGCGGCAGAGGTGCCTGGAAGTGGGCGTGAGGGCCTGGCACTGAGCCAGAGGGGAGAGCGTGGAAGTAAGTTAAGAAATCAGAATTATGGAAAGGTCAATTACTTTTAAGTAAACTGCTGGGATTTTTTTTTTTAAGCCAAAGTAAGTAAATTTCACAGCTATGGCTGGAGTTGAGAAAGAAAGAGTTTCCTTTTATTATGCGTCTGTGTCAGCACATTCAGACTTTCCTTTTAAGTTTGGGGTTCTCTTAGAGATCTGCAGATTTGGGGTTCAGCTATCCAACACTGTGCTTTTACTTGTGCACTATCTCATCCACGCAACCCCCATCCAAAGGCCTTCTTCATTGGCCTCTCTGCCTAGCCTCAGCCTGGCCATCAGATCGGAAACCTCAGTCAATCAATCAGTCAATCAATCAGTCAATCAATCAACCAATCAGTCATCAATCAGTCAACTTCCTGCCATGGGGCACATGCCCAGGGCAGCAGGAAACCCCCCAAACCGCTCAGCATTGCACCTGGTTCCTCACCCTCCTCACTTGGAGCAGAAACTCAGGGACCTCCTCCTGGGAGACCTCCCTCACCCACCACTGTTACCCCCCACCCTCCCGTCAGGCATCATCTCCCCATACCTCCGTGTAGTCAATCACCAGAGCCTTCTTCCCACCCACCTCCCACCCTCTTCCCCGTCCTTATGGCCTGTCTGCTAAGTCTCCTCCCACCTCCCTAGCCCCAGTCCCTGCCTGAGACAGCTTGCGTGTTTCCTAACCTAGTACAGGATGGGGCAAAAGGAGGTGCACAGTTGTGAGTATGCGAAACAGAGTTTATTCCTGCATTGTTATTTATTAATTATTTTAGTGTTTTCATGTGAACAGCAGTGCACCTGCTTCTGCCCCGCCCTGTGTGTGGTCTGTCTGGCAGCGTTCCATGTGCACTTGAGAGGAATCTGTGATCTGCTGTGGGTTGAGTGTTCTACAGATGTCTGGAATGTCTAGTTGGTCTCAGGTGCTGTTCAAGTCTTCTGGTTTCTGGTGATCGCCAATCTGGTTGTTAACATCCATTATGAAAAGTGGGGTATTGCCCTGGCCGGTGGCTCAGTGGTTAAAGCATCAGCATGAGCCCCCCCAAAGGGTCACAGGTTTGATTCCTGGTTAAGAGCTTGTCCCTGGGTTCCAGGTTCATTCCGCAGCCCTGGTCAGGCTGGTGTGGGAGCAACTGGTTGCTGTGTCTCTCTCACATCAATGTTTCTCTTTCTCTCCCCTCCACCCTCCCTTCCACTTTCTCCAAAAATCAATAGGAAAAAATACTCTTGGATGAAGATTAACAACAACAACAACAAAGAAAGTGGGGCAGTGAAGTCTCTGGTGGGGTGTTTCTGTAGCACCATAAGTTTTTCCCTTCATTCCCTCCGGTTTTACTTTATACACAGGGTGTCCCAAAAATATATAAACACTGAATAATTATAAAAACAGTGTTTATTAAAATACATCTCATTTTCAAAATGTAACAGAATCTACATTGTGTGTACATTTTGTGGGACACCTATATTTTGGAACTCTATTGTTAGGGACACATGTGTTCATACTTGCTGTTGTCTTACTGATGGATTGGCCTTTAGTCATCATGAAATTCATGAAATATTCCTCTTTATCTTTAATAAAACTTTTGTGTTAAAATCTGCTCTGCTTAATTGTCCTTTTCCACCTTTGAATCTAAAGTGTGTCTCCTATGACCAGCTTAAAGTTGGATCGTGCTTTATTGTTCAATTTGACAACCTCTGTCTTTGATTGACTTGTTTAATTCATAACAGTGTTGTTACTTGGATTTACACCTGCCATTTTACTTGTTTTGTTTTCTGTTTTAAATGTTTCCTTTTTCGTTCCTCTATTCCTTCTTTATTGCTTTCTCTTATGTTGAGTGGTATTTTTCTAAATGG